CGGGCACCTGTGGTCCCAGCTACTTGGGAGGCTGAGGCAGGAGACTCGCTTGAGCCCAGGAGTTGGAGGTTGCTGTGAGCTGTGGTGCCACGGCACTCTACCCAGGGGGACGGCTTGGGACTCTGTCTCAAAAAAAAAAAATAATAATAATAATTATTTTGAATTCTTTGTCAGGCAATTCCTATACCTCCTCTTCTTTAGGGTTGGTTTCTGGACATTTGTTTTGTCCCTTTGAGTGGGTCATTTTCCCCTGATTCTTTGTGTTCCCTACAATGTTGTATCAGATAAGTACATATGAAAAGAGAGTGACTTCCCTCAGTCTCTTCTCTATAGACTGCCTTCATACAGAGAAAGACCTTCACCAATCAGCCCGGGGGGGCTCTCAAACCTTTGCTTTGGATGTCTTTTCTCTGGACATAAGCATGAAGATCCCTAATTAGAGAGATTTACTAAATTCTTTTCCCAGGAGCTTGGAATCATTTGCTCTCTCTGGTGTCTGTCTGCTGTGCCACAGGTCCTCTGAAGCACCAGCATGCCACCCAGCTCCTTTTTTCTCAGTGGCTCCCAGGCATCTAGAGTATGGAGGGTTCTATCCATACTCTGAAACAGTTGAGACAGAAGCCATTCCCCCAGGACTCCCCCTGAGAAGTCAGAACATTGGGTGTATGATCCAATTTTCTCTTTCTCTCTCCAGGGAGAAGCCAGAGGCTGGGAGTTTCCTGCCTATCACATAGCACTGTGCTAGAGGGACTGACAATGTAAGCTTGTCAAGTTCTCCTACCATGTGGCTGGTTTCACGCTCATTTAGGGTACAGGTCCTTTGCTGCTTCCTAGATTTCTCACAAAGGGAACTGGCCTGTGTGTTGTTGAATCAATGTCTCAATAGAAGGAAGGAGGGGCTCGGGCTTATTCTGCCGTCTCGCTCTTGTCACTCCCTTTTTAATTTTTAGTCTGAGAATCCTCTGATATTCTAATTCACATTGGGATAAAAGAGCTTTTCTTTGCTCGGACACCTCACTCTTATTTCCTTTCACATAATTTTTCAGTAGACCATGTGCAGCTTTGCACTTCAGTTGAGTCTGGCAAGCACCTTAGAGGGCGAGCTCTCCAGTAGTGCCTCTCACCTCAGGGGCACAGATGCCTCATGGCTCCAGCCGTCTTCAGTCAATGTGGGGAGGTGCTATCACAACAAATGGGAAGCAGTACACTAGAGTCATTATTAGTTGGAAAGAGGCTAATGGGTCTGCCCCCCACGCTGAAAAGCCAATATGCCAACAGCACCGCTTGAGAGTAATTAAATCTCAGTATTTATAACTCTGACAAATCAGCACCTGCAACTGTTTCCTTTCCATAAACCCCAAAGCCACTGCAGCTGCATTCTGTGCAGGCTCCACACTGCTGGCCATAGGCTGACCTGCACCTGAGACTGAGATTCAGCCTGAGGGACTGTGTTTGCCCAGAAAGGTTGGCTTTTCCTAATTCACAGTGGAATCATTACAAGAAGCACTAGCCCTGTCCTTGGGTCCTATAAAAACTCACACTTAACAGGAGCTCTCCCCTTACTGTGTATTAAGCTGAAGATAAGGAATTAAAGCACAGAATGGTTAAATGAAATGTCTACATTCATCTGGAAAGTCCAGGAAAATCAGATATTGTTTTTAAGTCCCCTCATAGGTGGTTTTATCTAATTACAGGTACTTATAAGTTAATCTTTTAGTTCTCGAGAGTATTTTATAACCTATACATATTTCTCAATTTTTTTAAATAAAATTTCAGTAATATACTGGGAAAACATTTCTCAGTAATATGCAGTAAATAAACTTAAATATGACTCATATATATTTTTTTTGAGACAGAGCCTCAAGCTGTCCCCCTGGGTAGAGTGCCGTAGCATCACAGCTCACAGCAACCTCCAACTCCTGGGCTCAAACGAGTCTCCTGCCTCAGCCTCCCAAGTAGCTGGGACCACAGGTGCCTGCCACAACGCCCGGATATTTCTTTTTTTGGTTGCAGCCGTCATTGTTGTTTGGCAGGCCCAGGATGGATTCAAACAAACCACCTTAGGTTTATGTGGCTGGTGCCTTAGCCACTTGAGCCATAGGACCCGAGCCTGACTCATATTCTGACTTCAATTTCCTCTCTAATGATTTAATGCTTTTTTTTCTCCTATTAGGCATATTTTCTTTTTAGGTACATTTTTTTTAAAGTCAAAAGTTAATTGAATTTTCTTTGATGGGAAGTCTACAGCTTCCTTGAGTAATTTTGTTATAAATGCTAGGTAATAAGCTTTAAATATCCATTATCATTCTATTTGATTAAAGATGTTAAAAGAGTTGTAAAATCTTATTATTCAAAATCACTATATAAATTTCTGGGAATACATGAAAATCTTTACTTACCCTTTCTATTTTATATGGTGCAACGACATTATGTTCCTTAATGAAATACACCTGAGAAAGACAAATCAATTCTAGTAAAATAATGCCCTCAATTTTTCACTGTAGAGTAACTATAAATTAGGATTTTACAAATTGAATGTTTTAAATTATTTTTACATAACCTCTATTTCCAAAAGTAGTACATTAACATTAGAACTGATTTAAAGTTCTGTAGTTAAAACAAGAAATCAAGTATTACTGAATAAATACCTAAGATGTTGTATGAAGGTCATTACTTGTACCAAGTAACCAAGTAGACAGAAGAAGTACACTAATCTAAGTGTCGATTTTCTAAGAAATGGGTGTAACAAATATACTGTGGTATAAAATATGTTCATTAACATAAAGAACAGAAGGAGGTGCTCTGGGCACTTCTGCTTTCACGCACCAGGCCACCTGTCCTCCCACTTTGATGTTAATAACCATGCAAACAAGTGACACAGACCACTAGAGGCACCAGTCTTCTCACACTGTGCACTCACCCCACTTCCTCCTGTGACCACACAGGGTCTGCCTAGGTGCGCAAAGGCCAGCCCCATGGTGGTGGGCACAGAGTGGGAACCCTCCTTCACCTGCCAGCTACTCAAAAACTCTGCTTTTTGGATTATGCATTGTACCTTGTCCCATTTCAAACAAACCAACCACAGGTAACACCCCACACACACTTCCCCCCTTGGTCTCACATCCTCCTTTTGACATTTCTCTGTTCCTTTTTGTGGTGAAAGGCTTTGCAAGAGCTGTCTGTACTTTTTCTTGGGCCCATGACAGGTTTCTAGCCCTACCAGGCTATTGAAACCACTGCGCAGATGGTCACATGAGGTGCATTAGTCTGCACGTCACAACATCCAACAGTCTCCTCACCTCTCCCCCTCGAGCATGTGGCCCAGCTGACGGCTCTTCTGGAAGCTGTTTTCCACTTGGCTTCCCAGGCACCTGCTCCCGGTTCCCTCCACTCTCTCTGGCTGCTCCTTCCATCTGCTCCTAGACCCTGCTCTCTCCCGGCCTCTTGTTAGAAAGTTGCAGGATTTTGGTCATCAGACCTCTCCATCCACACACAGTCCCCGGAAATCTCATCAAGCCCCAAGGCTTTAGAAAGTCTCTGGAAACTTCCAACTCATAGTTTATCTTTTTAGCCTCGGCTTCCTCTGTGAAGACTAGGTGAATGCACCCTTAATGTCTGTCACCTTAAATCCCACCTTCTAAACCATGCCTGCGCCTTCCCAAGCTTTTTATCATAAAACAAAGGCATTCCTATACACCTAGCTGGAGTCATTCCTGACTGATTCTTCTCCTTTATTTCCTGCAATGAATCCACCAGCACATCTGTTAGGGTATTACTCATAAAATAGGCAATGACCACCTCTCACCATCCTGGTCCAAAACACTTGAGTTTCTGGAAGACCCCAAAGGGTCCCCTGGCTTCTACTCTGTGCCGCCTCCATGCTCTCTACCAAGCCTCCAGCAAGATTTATGAATTCATACAAATCAGAAGTGCCCTTCTCTTTCAGCTCTCCATGGCTTTTCTTTTTGGGCCTTATTCTAAATCCTTACTGTGTCTGGCAAGACCCTTCATGACATGGTCCCCGCTCCTGCTCCAGCCTCCCTCTGAGCACTCTCCTGCCCATGTGCACTCAGGCTCCCATGCCTTGAACCCATGGAGGTTGCACCCACCTGGGGAGGGGCGTCTCTCCCCAATCACCACTTTGTGCCTAGAACACCACCAGAAGGTCACCAGCCGCAGGGCTCACTCCCTCATGCCCTCTGAGTCCTTGTTAAGTGTCACTTCTCAGGGAGGCGGCCCCAACCACCCCATCTAAAGCAGCAGGATAACACCCCTTACAGTTTTCTATCCTTTTGTTCTATTTTCTTCATAGCTTTCATCACTACCTGACAGTAGAGATTTGTTTCTTGTTTGTCTCCCTACTGAGAAGTAAAGTCCATGGGTAGAGAGGCTTCCCTATATCCCCAAAGCCTTAAATAGAATGTTTATTGAATGCATGGGTTAAAATTATCATTTACATACACACACACCCCCTTTTATTCTAGCAGCAGTGGAAAATCTGGAACAAAACTCTGTAAATGTAAAGCACATAACATGTTCTGAGATCTTGTGACCTACTAGGTGATCAGAACACATACAAGTTGCCTGTTGAGTACCTGATACAGGAAGCTTGAAACAACATTTGAAAGAAGAGCTCATGTCTAGGGTACCTCTGGGTGTTAACCTGGATTTGAATCAGTTTGATATGAGACCTCTTCAACAGACTATTAAAAGTAGGTGGAAGTATTTCAGGGCTTTAAATTCTAAGCCCAAAGTTATTAAAGTTTTACTAAAATAACTAAACGTACAATTTTATAATGAAAACCCTATTTCCAACTGAAAAGGTACCACTTCCTTTTGAGATGTGGTAGAGGACGCCAAGAGTCAGACGACCTCTGAGCAAGATGATCTCCAGCTGAGGAGGGGACCCTCGGGCCATTCGTCTGCAGGTGCTCCTCCTGGAGAAAGAGCCCAAGCCTTCAGCGCGTAGTCATTTGTTAATTACTCCCCTCACCTGTGTTGTAAGGTCTCAATAAAAGGCTAATGCGGAGGTTGCTTGGGGCTAGCCCTTCCCTCCTCCTGCAAGCTGGTACTTCTAATCTATGTCACGCCTGGCTCCTTCCAGCTGTGATGGAGACCAGGGCCATAGGTGCCCGAGGGGTTGTGACAATGTGGCCTTTATAGAACAACGTTCTGAAGTAGACATACACAGGAGGGCACAGGGGTGGGTCAGAATTAATAATAGTGTTCCTGCCCCAAAGTTCACATGTGCCAGTTAAGACAATATGAAGTTGAGGATAGACTGCAAATTGTTTTCTTCCTTAAAATTAATAGAATCATAGAAAGTAGATGTAAAAAAATTACCTAATTCACTATTCCAGTTTTCTTAAAATAATTTTCAAGACATATTAAAAAATTTCCATAAACAAGAGTTTGGGCTCGGCACCTATAGCTCAACTGGCTAAGGCGCCAGCT